GTGCCTCTTAGCTTTGGCGGGTCAGTATAAGCCGCTGACTCCGATCGGGACCCTGAGGGACCGATACCGCCCTGAGCCGTATGAGGTCACCACGGAACCGCAGGTTGGGACTCACTCGAACTCCGTAGCAGAATGCCGTGGAGCTACAAACTCGAGCTTGATCGCATGCTTCACAGGCCGCTCATTCACTCACACACACACACACACAGAGGTTAACAACATTCCTCCCACCAATACCAATATCCTGTTTCCTGTAGGAGGGGATCAGCCTCCTCTTCTGTCCACTGGGACAGGACCTGTTTCCTCCTGGGGGATCCTACCTTGTCCGGATGGCCACCTGGTGAGTCTGTCTGTCCCTCCACGGAGTCTGGCTCTGGTTGTAGCCCAGCCACCCGGGGGGGCCGAGTTGCCATCACGAAAGAGAACCCGGAATACCGTCGGGTGGCGCCTCCTCGTTCGCTGCCGGAGTCCCGTCCCCCGGTCGGCTGGAGCCACCAGTCCAGCGGCTCAAGGGGCCGGCGTGGTTGTATCTCGCTGGGGCCTCCAGAAATGTTACGGAAATGACAGGCCAGCCAAGAAACAAACACCACTCGGAGGGTTGGAGTACTCAGATTTATTATGCCGGCGGGCTCAAAGGGGCTTCTGCTCCGAAGCTCTGAGCACCTCCAAGACGTGCACATGAGGTTTTATAGGGTTAATTACAAGTATGGGGCTATTAGCCAATAAGGTTCAAACAACAAAAAGCAAGGAATCAGTACACTGGAGCTTATCAATTTGGAACAGATCACGTTACTGACACTTGCTGAGCTTAGATTTATGAGTTAGCTTGTTAGCCCAGTAAACTGACACTAAACTTTAGATTTACAAGTTAGCCCGGCAGAACTTATATCAGTAAACCGACACTTATCACACTTAGATTTGTGACTGAGCTCGTTAGCCCAATAGACTGACACTAAACTTCAGATTTATGAGTTAGCCCAGCAGAACTCAGATCAGTAATCCGACACTTGTTGCACTTAGATTTGTGACTTAGCTTGTTAGCCCAGCTGGGCTTTTCCTTCACAATGTCTTTTGCACATTTTCCACCTTGGATTTTTGTTGTTATCAACTTCAGCTCTGTATATAAATGTGAAAATTGCCCATTTTTCCTATGATACAAATGCAAATATATGTATACATATAGTCTTTTTCATCTGACTCTTCTTATGGAGGCTTTTGCCTCACAGACTTTTTTTATTTCCACGTAATTGAATTTATCAATCTTTTCTTTTATAGCATCTAAGTTTTGTTGTGTATTTTAAAGACATTCCTCACTTTGAGATTACAAAAGCTCCCATGATTCTTTCAAGAATTTTTTGCCTTCTTTTAAAAATTTTTTTCTCATTTTATTTTATTATATTTTAACTGAGGATTGAACCCAGGATCTTGTGTATACTGAGTATATACTCTACTACTGAGCTATTACTTTCCTCCTGGCTTCATTTTTTTTTGTAATATTTAAATCTTTGATATATCTGAAATTTATCTTGGTGACTAGTGTGAGATATAAATCCAAGTTAAATTTTTCTAGATGACTATCCAGTTATTCTAACACCAAATGTAATTCCACTTTTTTTTTGACTGATTTGAAATTTTACCCTTGTCATACTAAATTCCCATGTTTATTTGGATGTATTTTTGAACTTTCTATTCTGTGTCATTGATTACAGGTCAGCTGTGGCTCCATTCTTTCTTGGTGGCAGTCCTGATTTTTTAATGGTGATTTTTCGTAACTACCACCAGGTCTTCAGGGAAAATGACTCCCAGATTAGACACCGAGAGTAAATCATGATTGGTCTAATCATTAGTGGTCTTATTCTTTTTGCTATTTGTTGTTTTATTCATGCCCAGTAGATTTGATGGGATGGCTACTAGAAATAATAAAAATCTATTAGACATACAATGGGAGATGTTTACAAGTTGGCAGTTGTATATCTAAGTCTGAAATTCAGAAGAGAGGTCTGGAATGGAGGTATAATTTGGGTGATTATCACTTCATAGATTAAATTTATACTAATGGGGTGGGATAAGATCATCAAGGAGTGAGTATAAATGAAAATGGTAAGAGGTTAAGGTATTGAGCCCTGGGGCGCTACAGTATTTGGAGGGCAGAGAAATGTGGCAAGACCAAGAGAAGCCAGTAAGATGGAAGAACCACAGGAGTGGAGTGTCAGGGTAGTCAAAATGAAGGAATTGATCAGCTGTGTCTAGTGCTATTTGTAGGTCGAGTAACACTGAGAATTGACTGTTGTTAGCCAATGGACGTCACTGGTAACCTTGATAAGAGCATTTCAGTGAATTGGTGGAGGTGAAAGCTTAACTAGACAGATTCCCACAGAAAATGAGAAAAAGGAAGTGAATGAGAAGTGAAGACATTAAGTACAGTACAGGCCGTGTCTATGAGATATTTTGCTGCAAAAAAGAGCAGAGAAATGGGTAGTAGCTGGAGGGTCAAGCTTGGTCAAAAGAGGTTTTTTGTTTGTTTTTTAAGATGGAAGACATAAATTCATGCTGGTATGCCTATGGGGGAGACAGAAAAATAGTGATGTAGAAGAGAGGGAAAATTGCTAGATTGATGTCTTTGAGAAAGTGAAACAGTATGGAATCTAGCAGAATGCTATTTAAAGTGTGATCTGTGTACTAGTGATTGTCTACAGACAGTGTGTTAACAGTTTGTGACAGAAAAGGAGGGTTAATATTTAGAAATTTTTGTAGCAATTTACTGGAAAGTTGAATGGCTGTTGGATCTAATAATGAAAAAAATCTGACCTAGAGCTGTTTATAGAGATAGAAAGTAGAATGGTAATTGTCAAAGGCAGTGGGGAGGAGGGAATGAAGAGTTACTGTTTAATAGGTACAGTTCCAGTTTTGTAAGATGAAAAGAGCTCTGGAGCTGGATGGTGGTTATAATAGCACAACAATGTGAATGTATTTAATGCCAGTGAACTGTACATTTAAGACTGGTTAAGATGGTTAAAATATATATATATATGTATATATATATACACACATATATATATATTTATGCTTGCATTTTGTATGTCTGTTTTTATTTTTATTTATTTATATATTTTAAAATATTTATTTTATTGAGTTATAGTCAGTTTACAATGTTGTGTCAATTTCCAGTGTAGGGCACAATTTTTCTGTTATACATGAACATACATATATTCATTGTCACATTCTTTTTCACCATGAGCTACTACAAGATCTTGTATATATTTCCTTGTGCTATACGGTGTAATCTTGTTTATCTATTCTACATATACCTGTCAGTATCTACAAATTTTTAACTCCCAGTCTGTCCCTTCCCACCCCCCTTCCCCCAGCAACCACAAGTTTGTATTCTATGTCTCTGACTTTGTTTCTGTTTTATATTTATGTTCATTTGTCTTTTTCTTTTCTTTTCTTTTTTTTTTTAGATTCCACATGTAAGCAATCTCATATGGTATTTTTCTCTCTCTTTCTGGCTTACTTCAGGGACATCCATGTTGCTGCAAATGGCATTATGTTGTCATTTTTATTGCTGAATAGTATTCCATTGTATAAATATACCACATCTTCTTTATCCAGTCATCTGTCGATGGACATTTAGGCTGTTTCCACATCTTGGCTATTGTAAATAGTGCTGCTAAGAACATTGGGGTGCAGTTGTCTTTTTGAAGTAGGGTTTCTTCTGGATATATGTCCAGGAGCGAGATTACTGGGTCATATGGTAAGTCTATTCCTAGTCTTTTGAGGAATCTCTGTATGTCTGTTTTTTAATTCAATTTTTCTAGTAATTTTTATTGCACTTAACAAAAATACAGATTTGTGGATGATTGGGAGGAAAAAAACTCAAGTCTTTTTGTACAGATAGTTTGAGAAGAATTAAGGAGGGTTTGACCTTAGCCAAAAGACAAACTGCTCATTTGTAATAAGGAAAGAAAGGCAGAATATAGGAGCAGAGTTGCAGACAGAGCAGACTTATAGTTAGGTTGGAAGACATGGTGGTTGGTGGGAACTATTTTCACTGTGAATTGGAAGTAAAATCATCAGATAAGTGAGAAGGGAAGAAGTGTTGGAGGTTTGAAGAAAGAGATGTGAAATAGTTATCTAGTGGGGTGGGAGAGCGTATGAAACTGGAGAAAATATAGTAGGATAGCCAAACACTAAGGACTTATTTTACCATAATGATATAAAATTTAGGTGCGGGCCAGTCAGTGTGATTTGGAATTTTTTTCCACTCTACCCCATTTTATTGCAGATTCAGGATTAGAGTTTCCTCAAGCTGAGTACAAGGCAAGGAAAGAAAGACTGGAGAAATGAAGGTGAGTACCTGGGAATGATTTTCATGATGGGCGGCAGAATCTAAGCTATTCATTAAAGGAAATGAAAACATAGTATAGTGTGAAGAATAGTGAAAAGGTAGTAGGAGCAGTGGATTTTGAGTCTTGGTGGAGTTGAAGGATTTTGGGATTGTGTATTACAGGAAGTGAGTTGGAAAGGATGGAAGTTGCGGTGGGAGAGTTGGATGATTAAAATTGAGATTATAGAGGCGTTACAGTTATTGGAAGTGAGAGGATCAATAGTATGAGCTCGGAAATGAGAGGCTGAGGCAAGGGTGATCGCTAGCGGAGAGGAACCTGAGAAGTCAGGACATTGGAGGAATCATCTGAAAGAACTGAAATCATCAAGAATTTATTACAATAGTAACGAATGACAAGGAACCAGAAGCACAGGAGTGACCGAAACGAGTGACAGCTCTAGTCTCCTGTTATGATGTATATTTAAAGTCCTTAATTTTTAAAGCCCTCTTTATTTAAAGACGTGCAGCTCTTTTAAGGGCCAGGGACGGGAAGAAGCTAGAGGTCGGGGGCGAGTGTCTGGACTCCGAGGCCGAGCATGCGCAGTGAGAACGGAGGCGGGACCAAGCTTGGGCTCGCGGGCAAGGGCGGGGCCTCGGGGGCGGAGTCTGCGCTCCAGGTCCGGCTGCGGCTGCGGCTGCTGCACTTCCAGCTTCTGAGGCAAGGAGGCCGAGGCCTGGGCCAAGCCCGGAGCCGCCGCTCTTCGGAGCCTCCTGGAGCCCCCGCGCCGGCTCAGCCTGGGGGCGGGCTCAGGCCCGGCCCGCCGCCGAACCCAGGACAGAGGCTGCATAGCCCGAGGACCAGGCCGGCACAACCATGGTAAGGGAGCGAGGCCTGCCTGAACCACAGCCTCCCGCCACCCTGGCCCCCGCGGGCCTGCCCCTCCCCAGCTCCGGTGCCCCTTTTGCTCCTGCCTTTACCTCCCCTCCTTGTTACCTCCCCCTCAGTAATCTGCTATTCCTTCCCTTTGGTCCCTGGACACCTGCTGGGGTGACACCCCCCCATCTCGCTCCACCTCGGTGACACCCTTTTTTTTTGTTATCTCCAGTGACAGCCTCTTTCGCGTTCCCCTCTGCTGCCCCCTCCTCGTCCTTTAACCCGACCTTCCTTTTCTCTACCATTTTGCCTTGTTTTCTCTTTTGAGATATTTGCGCCTTCCCTCTTTTTCCTCCCTCTATTTTGCTCCTGCTCTTTGCTCTCGTTCCTTACCCCTTTCACCATTTTATCAACATTGCCCTCTCCTCTCCGTATGCATTCTCCCTTTCGTCCTCTACCATCTACATTTCCTCTCCTCCTTATCGGATGTCCTCTCTTCCCCGCTCCCACAGCTGTCCCCATTTCCTTCTATGGGATTCAAGGGTCTAAGCAGGAACAATTTGAGGGCAATTGCTTCCCAGGAGCTGTAGGGCGGGCAGATAGGGAGTCGCAGGCTTTCTTCTTCCTTTTCTTTTTTGAAAAGGAAGGGGCGGGGGGCCCGGAGGTATTGGAGAGAGCCTGCAAACCTTATTACCTAATGTCATTGCAAAATCTGAGTGATAGTGTGTTTTGGAGTGAGGGAGTGAGGCTTGGGGTGAGGGCTGCATGCTTACTATGGCCTTGTGAGATATCTAACCTTTTGATATAAATAACTTAAAATGTTTTGAAATGTATTTTTAAATTGAGCACCTTTTAACGTGGAGGTACCGTTTGGGAAATTTAAACATTTATTTACAGGCTTGATTGTTACTCAGAACAAATGGTTTATTTTTGGAGGCAGAGACCAGGGCATCTGAAGACAGAAAATCAATGTGGCAGTCAGATTGTGACAGTCTCTTTAATACCTTGTAATATCTTCATTTGTTTTGCCCTTTCTGCTTTAAGTTGGGAGACACTTGGAAATTTTCTCTCTGTCCTGTTTCAAAATAGGTTGAGGCTTCAGTGGGTTTTTCACTGAGTTGAGTTACACATGGTTTCCAGTTAGTTTAATGGATCCATTGTTTCATTATATGCAGCAATCTAAGTTTTGGTCTCTGGGAGGAATAAGACATTCCAGTCAAAACTAAGTCCCAGTAATCATGTTCTTCTAGGAGGTTAGTCAGTTTCTATTTTTTCCCCATCTGTTTTTTAGAGAAGTGGTTTATTGTAAAGTTATTTAATCTGTGAACTTTCCCTAACTCACCAACTCTGCATTTTAGGTTGTCATTCTCCTATGTCTGCCTCCACAGCAACCCTTCACGTTCACAACCCATCTCACTGTCATTGTATGTTAACACATTTCTTCTCCTGAAATGTGAGTTCTTCTAGGCAACAACTGTACCTTACTTATTCCTGTTATTCCCAGTGCCCAGGCCAAGTAGGTGCTGAATAATTTCAATATATGGTCTCATTTTCTGATCTGACAAATATGATCTTAAATTGAAATTTGAGGCAACTAGTGGATTACACAGAAAAAGTGAGTTTGAGAATCTTATTTTTGGTGCAAAAAGGAAATTTAGTAAGATGTCATGATCTCTTCAGAATAAAGAGCTGTCCCATCTAAGATACCAAATTGCTAGATTTTTGGAAGTGTTAGACATCCCTCTGAGAATGAATGTATGAATACAGAGGGAGAAGTTTTGAATTCCTTTTTGGATATTTAGGATCCAATGGTGTCATTTGAACTGGGCCTGAAAGACGAATAGGATTTATATAGATTATTTCGGGACGGAGAATAGTTTGTTGTGTATGTGAGTAGAAAGTAATAAGGATGTATTATAGGGGGCTGGATTACCTTATAGCATGAAGCATGCGGGAAGGAGGATGTGTAGTAGGAAATGAGACTAGAAAGATGTATTAGACATGATTATGGTTTAGACTTTACCTCCAACTACGGGATTTTTCCTTACTTGTTAAAATCACACACACACACACACACACACAGAGTAAAAGTATATGTACAGGAGAGGTGAAGAAAAAGTAAAATATTAGCTTATGAGCTGAGAATTATTTGTAGAGGCTACCTTTTAAAATTTCCTTGTGTAATATGTGTAGTAGGGACTCAATAAATAGAACCAAGCATTATTATAAAGCTTTTTGTTTACATTTTTCAAATTGTTCATTGTGATATTGCGTTTTGAATAGTTGAGATGTCTAAGACAGGGGTTCTAAAACTTCCCAGTGAATCAGAATCACCTGGAGGGCTTGTGGTGTGCCACTTCCAGATTTTGATTTGTTAGATCTGGAGTAGGGCCTGAGAGTTTGCATTCCTAACAAGTACTTACTGTCATGCTGGTGTTCCTGATCTGTCCACCACACTTTGAGAACCACTGGTCTAAGACATAGTCTTTACTTTTTATTTATCTAACAGATTTTTTTGAGTGCTGTTGACTGTTGACATTGGGAATTTTAAACAAATAGTAAAACAGATGTGGTTTCAGCCTTTTCATATCTTTTGTCTGTGGACAATATACATATCAAGCAAAAAGAGTAATTATCAATGTGAAGAGTGCTAAGAAAAGAAAAGTAGTGGGATCATGGTGTGAGAGAGTTAGGGATGGTTTCCCAGAGGATCTTACTTTCAGGAAGAAAACTAAAGGATTAAATAATAGAAGTTGTGTCATAGAAAGCCAGATAGAAGGAATGGCATATGTGAATGACCTCTGATGGTACTTTCTCTTGCTTAACTCTGGATATCCTGGAGTTCTCAGCTCAAGGAAGTCATGGAAATGCCAACTGCCCCGCCTAGCCATTAAAAAAACAAAACAAAAACCTAAGTCATACCCTTCTATTATATAATCCTCTTTCATGGAATACATATCAATTTTAGTTTTATATTTCTGTGATTTTTTGGTTAATGTCTGTCTCTACCCTTAGAGTAAAAATCATTGATATAGAAGTGGTTTTTAACCAGCTGCTAAGGGCCAAGTAATGTTCTAGGTCCAGTGGCTAAAAAAAAAATGACATGGTCCCTTAGGGTAAGGAAGGTAGACAGACCATAAACAAATAAATATATAATGAGAACAGTTATAAATGCTAAGAAGAAATAAATCAAAGTAAGATATAAAATGATGTATATGTGTGTGTGGCAACTATTTTAGGTAGTCTGATTAGACAGCAGCACTAATAGCTAATATTTATTGAACATGACTATATATAGGCCCTGTTTTAAGTGCTTTACATATTTTATCTCAATTAATCCTCATAGTAATCCAGTGAGGTTAAGTATTAGCTCTCTGAAGATAGAGACCATGTTTCTTTGACTTATATTTTATATTTAAGACCTCCATAGTGTCTGGTCTAAAATAAGTGCTCAGTGAATATTTGTTGAATGGATGAATGACTTGGGGGAGGATCAGAAAGTCAAGGAAGCTTTGTTGAGAAAGGACATTTGAATTGGGATTTTAACTACTGGGATTTTATTGGATAAAAATTGGGAAGGAAAGCCATTCTTGGCAAGGGACCAGCTTGCGCATAGAAACTGAAACCGAAGCAGGCACGATGTACGCTGGGAAATGTGTGAGTGTAGCGTTGAGGGTGCAGTAGGATATGGGAGTAGGTGAGCCTAGTGGTCAGATCATGGGGGAACCTTGAATCATAGCCTCAGGAGTTTTGGCCTCATTGTAAAAACGCTGAGTACCTTGAAAGGTAAGAAGGAATTATCATAATAAAGAGATTTTGAGGATGATCACTCTAAATTAATTTGAAACATGGTTTGGAGTGGCAAGAACTGTTACACTAGTCTAGGTGAAAAGGAAGTGTGTGAACTTTCACCCTAACCTTGTTGTGGTGATGGTGGTGATTTAAATTAGAGGAAGGAGAGTATAGGGAAATGAAACAAGAAGATCTGGCACACCACTTTGTGGCTAAGGGAATTTTCCTCAGAGGCATTACCAAGGAGTTGTAGAAGAGGCACAGAACCACTAACAGCTTTGCAGTTTTACTAACTGGGCATCAGTTTTCATATATATAGCCTTTAGGGATTTATGAGAATATGAAAACAAAGGTAAATTTACCATACCAAAATCCTTTATTTATGAACAGTAAGTCTCTCAAAGGTCATATTTTAGGTCATATAGAGAGAATCAGCACCTCCCAACCTTACTTTTTTTTTTTTAACAGTTTTTGTGTGCTATGAGAAGGGAGAAATTTTAAGTAAAATATATTTTATTTTTAAATGACATATATATGTCATTTACTAATATATTGAACAAAATACCTTGAAACAAAAGTCAGCCTTTCCTGTTCAACAAATGACACATTGACATAAGATAAAGCATTATTTGTCATATTTAAAAATGCATATATGTTACAATATAGATTGAGATTAATTATGCTCATGGCATCAAAATTGATAAGAGCTGACTTTTTAACCTTAAATTTGGAAGTTTTGAATTTTTGTACTGAAAAATCAACAGGTTTTTATAAATGTTCTGTTTTGTTTCTGAATGACAAAATAAAAAGAATGGTTCCCAGGCTGCTACTTGGAAGCCTGTCTCCACAAATAAAACATTGAAATTATTCCAGTATTGAAAATTCAAATTGTATATAACTATCATCACATTTTTTTAATGCTTAAATAAATTCTGAGATATCTTGGTGTACCATTTAAGAATCCTGATCAGATAAATGCACTCATTTACTCTTATTTAATCATTAGTGTAGCTTATGTTTCCTGTCTTTAACCAACAGTTCATTATAAGAATAGAAATAATTTAAAATTACTGTGACGTTCAGGTTCAGATGAAGTTATAACAATTGAGTGACTATAATATGATGAATAAGTCTCCTAATATCTGCTAATTCATACATGTTCAGTAGATAAATTTTTGGATACTCTCAAACTCTTCTGTTTTTAAAGGAGA